GTGTGCTCTTCCGATCTAATTTTTGCTCAAAATTTTTCTATGCCATAATTTTTTTGAGCAGTGTATATATATATATATATATATACATATATATACATTATTAATTAATTATATTATTCTATCAAATCAATCGCAAAAGATTGAAAAGAATAAAACGAGAGCGCAACGATACTTTAATAACAATGATTTAACAAGTATCTCTCCTCATTTTTGTGTCTTGACCTTTGTTGAATGTATTAGCAAAAGGATGAATTAATTGATACATATCTTGTGAGATGTTATAATTCTATTACATAGATATCTGAAAACAAAATTGCAAAGTAGTTAAAAAATTTTAGATGAATTCTGTTCTTTTTCATAGTGAATTAATCGCCGTTTAAACTGCGATTTAACATGAACACTGTGCAAATTGTTTCTCAATTATTTTATTTGTTTGTATACATTTATAGGCCCTAATTAGGCGTGAGCTAGTTTCCATTTCCAATTTCAATTAACAATTCAATTCTCAATAATAAACGGACCACGATCGGTAACCCGTATCGTGATTGTCGAGACATACGTGTAGGATCGAGGCATCCGACAGGATTATGGCGGAGAATTAGCACATATGTGAGGCTTGAGTGGATCGATTGTTATATCCACTTCACGGAAAATCACATTTCGCTTGATAGCTATCAATAGAAATATATTCGGAATGTGCAAAAACACGGGCACTGTATATCAGTTTCCTACTTTTACTAATAAATAGGACCCTCAGTTGCTACTGTCACGAGATAATCGTTTCAAATTTATGAGTATATTTTAGATTTAAATGATAAATAGTTATATTATCCGCCATTATCCTTAGCAGACACTTCAAATCTACGCACATACAATGTTTAATATATATATATACACGGAATTTTTTTTGGCCTACCTAAGCTAGCTAATGCAAATAGGCCGTGCAGCGCGGATCCAATATGGATCGTTATAATAATAATTTAATATAATATTCGCAATCTTGTAAATAATCTTGTACGCAAATAAATACATATAATCATTTGATGATCAAAGTTATATATCCTAGAAAACGCACATTATATTTTATCAATATAATATAGATGTAATTAAGTATTGATTTCCGAATCAGACTCGTCATACAGTAAATAGTATTTCGAGGCAAAGCTCTATTAAATTGGGCAAATGTTTATACTTCCACAGAAAATGATTTGTCTCTTCTTAAGTTGCGATATACATAATCCCTTACTTTATTTATAAAATATTATTTTAATATTTTGCTTTTATAATTTATGAATTACTTAATATGTTGCGATTGTTTCTTCCAATCTTTTAATTAGTATCGACAAATTAATATCACAATTTTGTGCGCTACACGGTTTTTTTTTTAAATATACGTGTATATATATACAGTAGTCCATTACAGTTCCATCATATTTATAATTTATATATATATTTATATTTATTTATACATGTATATATATATATATACGTGGAAGTCAAAAATTAATAAAGTTAAAAAAATATAATCTTCAAAATAGAAACTATAACCGTCTTTCTCTTCAGCTACAGCGCTATTGTGTGTGTCACTTATGAAACCCTCTATTCTTTCGAAAACGCATCGACATCATTCTTTTTTTTTGTATATATGCTCTACTAGTGCATACTGCTGTCCACACGGAGTCCTCGGGACGTCCGTCTCTCGAAAATTGCGCAATCGATTTTAGAAGGTTTCCGATTTTTCCTTTCCTTTTCCACTTTCATTTGTTTCACGCAATTTTCACGAAACGGCGAACGTCTCAGAAAATTATTAATTTGAGCGTTATATCTCTCATAAATTCGGACTTTTCTAAAAACCGACCTATCACATTCAAGTAAAGTACGTGACGAAAAAGTTCTTTCCTCTATCCTGTTGTGAACTTATCGTATTTATCTTTTCTTTTTAATTATCCATTAGGTGCCTTATAAATAATTCCGCAAATTATGAGCATCCCAAAGTGCCTCTAACGAATTTCGTAGTCGCGCCATTTGAGTAAATATTATAAGAGTTTAATATACGAAAAGTCACGAATGACAATTAGTACACGGTTCAAATTTTATATTCTTAACTACTTCTTAAATATTCCACACAGATGATTACTGAATTTTTTTTGCTCTCTTATTCATTCGCAATATAATAATTATGTGTTTATGATTTTTACTGTAGAGTCGCTTAACATGCCGAATTAAATATAATTTCTCGATATTCAATGCTAATTTCACAATTATTTGAAATTAATTACGTTTTCAAATCACTAAAATTTAATCATTTACAAAAAATTTACTTTTAATATTTTTTAAACTATGTTCTTAAATTTTTCAAGATTATTCAATAATAAAAAAATAAATTTTTTCGTTTTAAGATATTTTAAAACAAAAAATAATATATGTATATGTGATATTTGTTTTGTCACGTAATTAATAATAATATTGTATTAATTGCATTCATTGAAATATGTATTTTAAACGAAACGTGGTAACAGACTTCAAAGCTAAAGAAATAATTAAAATAATTAAAATAATAATTAAAAGTAAAGAATTAATGAGCATAATTGTACAATGGATTCTAATATAAAAGATTAATACAAATTAATATAACTTATAAATATAAATATTTTCAATTTACATGCATTAACATAATATTTGTTGTAATTAATATTTATACGAATAAATAAGATTTATATCGAATATTGAGAGATTATTACAAATATATTTTGAGGTATATATTTGATCAAAGATCGAAGATTACTGTAGTCGCTCTTTAACAATATAAAGAATTTGATCAAAAATCTTATGTGATGTTGAATTAAATGTAAGAATTTAATATACGCATTATGCTACAATGTTCTTTCGCTAATTATAGCGTAACGAGTGATTTATTGTGTATTACAAAACGTGTATGTAATCTAAATGAGCGTGATAATACACTTTATTGTACTTGCGTTTCTGATAAGTGTCCCTATGTGGATTTGTAACAATGATATTGTGAATTCGACTTGAATTGTGCGAAACTGCTTGCGATATACATGAATTAAAATGAATTCTGTGAGATCATTTAGTTGTAAAATTATATAGCCACAATTACAATTCTTCTTTCGACTCAAAAATGTTGAAGAAAAATAAAAATGACTATAATTGAAATTATTTTTTCAGTATTAAACTGTTCTCCAGCATTTTTTATTAAATTGTATTTTTTAAATTGAATGATAAGACAATTCACACACAGATTTTTAATCTTAAGTTTTAAGAAATGATTATATTCGTTTCTTTCTCGTATTATTGATAATTTTTGTAAATAAATAGGTATAAATTTTGCATGAATAAAATTTTTGGATATAATATATTTCCTAAATTTAATTATTAATCGACGTAATAACTGTTTTTTCGTAATGTATCATGAAACTTTCACAGATGTTAAAACAATTCAATTTGATTTTTTTAATTTATAGAATAATATTTAATTCTATGTTAAATCTTACAACAAAATATAAAATATAAAAATATAAAATAGAATGTTGCAACTTAAGTGCAAGTAAGTTGTATATTACTGCAAGTTGCTGGAAATAATAGAATAATAGAATACTATAAAATAAATATTATAAAATATGGAATATAAAAGTTGGAAAGAGAGAGAGTAGGAATCGTATTGCACATAGTAGAAATCTACTGATGAAACAGATCTTACAAACAGTAAATAACTTGCAAGTTGACTTGTTATCGCGATTACGTAATAAATGCATACTAGATTTTTTCAATTCGCTTGCACAAGCGTTTTTCTTCATCGAGTAGCTATCGTCACGATTTTATCTTGTGCGTTTAGTCTCGAATAAAACAAAATAGCAACACTGATTCTTGGAATCAATTTTGCGGAATGTGCTTGGCTGAAGCTCGAATAGTTGAATCACGATTTGCATATCGTCCTAGATCGCTTGACAGTTAGCTAAAAATTTATAGTTTTACATTAAAAGAAGTAAAAGTAATTATTGAAACTTGTCAAGCGTAATTATTGTCAAATATCAAATGGCATTAACTAAAACGAAGAATCGCAGTTAACAATTTTACGCAGTATAGTACAGATAAATTAATGCACTTGTTTTTTTTTCAATAAAAAAAAATAATTCAACAAAAATATGAAATCTTTATATCTTAATTTTTATATCACAATTATGATAATTCATAAAATTATGTTATGTAAACTCTCTAAATCTGAATCAGTAGATAATCAATGATTATTTATTAAATGCATTAGTTCCAAGTATGTCACTGGTAATCAGTGAAATTCAACTGGAAAATAAATAAAACGTGAAAAACTGAAATAAGTGAATAATCCTACAATTGCTGACAAATCAGTGGACTTCACTGTTTTATAATTGCACAGCGGATTCAGCTCTGTTTCACTTATTCATTAACGATGCAAGGCGTTACTGATTCAATTATTGACTTTTCCACTAGTTCAGATTTAGAGAGAAAGTGAATCGGAAAATATTATACAAGTCAGATTGCATCTCCTAAAGCTCCACTTTAAAGATGTTAATGTGTCCATTTATTTTAGACACTTTATATTGTTACGTAATACTTTGCGATGTACTTTTTTCTCTCTCTTAACGACGTTAACGATTATAATATATACCCATATCAATCTCAATTTTTGACACAATATGATTTGTTTATATAATTTTCTCGTGAAAGATATAATTTATATATCAGTTCCATGAGAAAAAAAGAAATAGAAAGAGAGACAATTCCGTGTCCCGACTTTGTATGCTTTCACATAACTATCATTTTATCGAAACAATACATTGATGAAGCTGCCTATAATTAAATTTTCCGTTAACGCGCAAGGATGAATTAATTTAATATTTCTGACGTACTTCCGATGCAATATCGTCAATCCGTTTGTCATATTTTGCAAAATGTGGTATTAACGTTTCCCCGCGCGACAGATATCGCCGAGTATACGGCATGTGGATATCGATTAAACGATACACCTGATAGCACGTTCGTCAAACATCACTTTTAATTAAACGGGGCTGGAAAGCGAGGCCCTTTATTGTAGCTGGCAGTGCGGCTACTTTTGTACGCAGATAGAATTCGACTGACGTCAGAAAGTTAAAAAGCATTCTTTGCTTTTTCGAGATCCGCTAGAAAAGTTGATGACACACATATACATAATATCTTATAATCGTATATCGTGTATTTATATACGTATATCGTGTATTTATATACGTATATCGTGTACATTATAGAAAGTTTAGCAAATATAGGTGGCCGAATTAAGGAGACATCTCTTTCGGACTCTAAAAATTGTTTATTGGTAGCATCTTAAGCTTAAGACGCTACAAGGCTTCGCGGTACGTTCATTTTTAACGTTTACTTTCTCATGCTATTGCGCGTACTATGATTGAAGAGATTTTTTTTCTCCTAAATTTCTTGATTAATTTTATCAAGAGATAAATATTCTACCTTGCGGCAGTATACAAATTTATTATCATTTAATATTATTTTTAATTTCTACACTTTTCCTGCAGAGAAACGTGCGTCGGAAATTTCATTTGCTAATTGGAATTTTGAAAATGTCGTTTATGTTTTTTGGGATACTTCTTTAATCTTTAGCAAATTTGTAATTTCGTAAGAACTTTCAAAGGAATTTATAAAGAGAGTATACTAGAGTTCTGTTTTTTTTAAATAGTTTATAAATTTTGGTCTCCTTAACTTGCCAGTGTGAGATACGTATTTTTTTCTCTGTATATATATATAGTTTGTCAGCATACACACAATTGTGCGCCCGTCATGACGGGTTTGTAAAACCTGCCGTGTCTCATCGCAAACTTATATAGTAAACAACAAAACTTTCTTTACGATCAGTTCGATTATCGCAAGATTAATGTCATATCAACATCATTATGTAATCATTATATGTATAGCGATCGCTAGTCGAACTATACTGCAGTTGCAACAAACGTATAACTGGTCCTAATTTATTTCGACGAGCATGTTATAATCGGACACTCAAACAAAAACGCGACGTTAAAAATGATTGTACAAATATGATTGTTTCCGCATTTGCAAAAAAGCCGTCTGTTTGAAAAATCTGACATAAAGAGATAAACGTAACAGCAACGCAGTAGTGAGCAGTCTCGCAGCAAACGAATCTCGTGCAGCGGATCCTCATCTCAGGCTGGACAATCACGTTGTTTCGTGCATTATCGTACCGCGATTCTCTACAGCTGGCTACATCGTAAAAAAATCCTTCTCGTATCTCGCCCGCGTTTATCGTTCTATAACCTTTGACGTGGAAGACGCCTAAGCCTAACCAACGTGTGTTTGTAAAAATAGGCAAGTCTTACGCGCGCTATGTACGGGTGCGTCGTGCTCGTCGCCGAGATTACTCCTTTTCCTCGATCTCTTGGCTCTCCGCGCCCAGCAGGATCGACTCGTGTTCCTCGATCTCCGGCTCCTCGATGTTCTGCTCCGCACGTCTAAACGCTTTACGTTGCACGTGAATCATCAGGGCAATTAGACCGCACGCCGTTGCGCACATTCCTCCAAAAATTGCACAAACCGTTATCATCGGCATGTGATTGATGGCCTGCAAATCCAATGACGTGATGTTATTTGCACGGCAATATCTATAATACATAACATCGTTATTGTGTGATGAGTTACAGAGTATTAATTTACTTTTCCATATACTTAATTTCTATTATGTAAAATATTTTTATACAACTGAAATGAAATACCGTATATCAAATGTAATTCTCTTTTCTTCTATACACTAACTTTATTCTTCATAACGAATTAACATGTAATTAATTTCAAAAGCTAATATTAGCTTAATCAACAATATGTATTAATGTGTAAATATGCTCATACAAAAATAGATGTATATATATAAATAAATCAGAACTAAATTTATAAGATGTTAAAAAAAACTATTTAAAAAACGCAAATTAGGTCACAGTTTCATGACAGTGAATAAAGAAAATCATATATATTATATACAAATCAAAACTAAATTTATAAGATGTTAAAAAAAATTATTTAAAAAACGTAAATTAGGTCATAGTTTCATGACAGTAAATAAAGAAAATCATACCTTATTTTAGAATGATTAAATCGCGCTTTTAAACATCACGGCTATTTTGGTGTTGACGAATACTATTAAATAAATAAGCATTCTTTGAAATCGATTGTTCACCGACCGTTTTAATTTACTATTAGGTCAAACATCGGCCTACGGCTTTGCGTGCACGATAATACGTTTTCGCCGGTTCCCGTTAGCCATCGGCGCAATAACCTGCTTGAAATTCTGATTTGTGCACCCCGTAATGCACGGAATTCACGATAGTGTTCCGTTTAATACCACTGAGCCTCTGTCTGAACAGCTATTTGCGTCCGTCGTTCGCGGAATTTGATTTAATATTTCGACCGAGATAGAATTGATGTAGCAATCTATTACGCGTTATGCAACTAACATGTAAATGCTTGCGATCGATTCAATAAATTGAAAATATGTGAAGAAAGCACACGGAAAGAATTTTGTTAGAAGGTCTAAAAATTTTGCTGGATACAGATCTGAAAATAATTTTATTGGAAAAAAATGATGAGCATTGCTCTCTATAAAACATTTTGATACTCTAACCACCAGTTTAAATTTCAAACAAAATTTTAATGGCATAACAAAATTATTTTCAGATCTCTATATCCAACAAAATTTTTAGACCTAGCGAAATCGTTCTTTCCGTGCGTGTAAAATACTAATTTTTTCCATTTTTTTTTTAAAGTAGATATTCGTAGTGCACGCAAAAATAACTCCGTTATCGATGAATTTTATCTCTTTTGAGAGTAAAATGCTTTGTTATTTCACAAAGTTATTGCAAACTTTATATTATATACACATTGACTGTTTTACACTGCACTTGTTAAATTAAGAAATATATTAAATTAATTCGCATGCAATTTTGCGATCTTCATCAATAGCACCTGTATGACACCGCGATATAATCTACACTGTTCCTTATCCACCGAGAAATGAATATTCATCAGAAAATGTTGTTGCTATTCTCTGTTACCCCAGTTACCGCTTAATATGCAAAATACAAACCAGCAGACGCTGCTGCATCCGATATAACTACTAAGTCAGGTAAATATATGAATTAGTAGGTAGTCAAGATCTTATTAATCCCCTGCGCACCCTGACGCTGGTATTTTCAATTCCACGGTAAATTAAGCACTCCGCCCGTAAAAGGTATTCTGCGCGTGTGTTGTAAAATAGAGCGCATTACTACGTATTGTACGCGATTTATGAAAATTGGATAAAGGATTTTGCTTGGCGAGCAGCTGTTAGCTCGATAAGTACGTTTAAATATATAACAGTACGAAAAAGCAAAAACTCGAAACAAGCAAGAGCTGTTGAGCGAGCGCGAAAATATTTGGCAAATATATTTCGGCAAAAATGTCGAGTACACTGTTTTTCTCGTCGGTGAATTTTTTAACGGACAAGTTATTTTTTCCGTGGATGAATTTTTATTAGTTGCAAAATGCGTCCTCTTAATAAAAATGAAAACTTTATCACTTTTTTTGTAAAACTGTTTTTACGAATTTGGAACGAAACTTTCATTTCGCGTTTCCGTTTCTCCCATAAATATATTTTGTGCTTTTTTTCCTAATGACGTACGTGTAGTCCGCACAAAATCTTTAAGTGCAGCGCAAGCATTCTCAGGCAACGAGTAAGCATTATCGGCTCAAGGGAGAACACGCGGCTTTTATATTGATTGGCCAGCGAGGTCGATGTTTTAAGAAAGCAACTTTTTCCTCTCCCGTAATTTTATTTGCGCAAAAATCCTCTTCTTGCGGGAGATAAAGAAAATGGAAGTAATAAGAGAGAAATAAACATCTACGTATAAACATAAATGAAAAAAAATATATAGGGTGCGATATCGTGAGACATTTCGCAGAAATTATTGCACGTAACGTCACGTCCTGCAATTCTTCAGAGGGAAGTAAAAGTACGACTGCTGTCCCGATGGGAAACATGCGGGAAAAATAAAGGCTCCGTGCGATTCCTCGTCCACTTTTAGATTCACGAACATGCTCTGCCTATTGATCGGAGTGCTTCAGTTTTAGATGTCTTTGGTGCAACGCGATCAATATTTAAGATGCAAAATTTTGAGTTGACGGTCGCTAAATATAAAAATATAGGAAAAATGTACATGCAGAAATTATATAATATATCCTACAATTCAAAAATCAGAGTTCAAGTATATAATATATTTTACAATTCAAAAACCAGAGTACAAATTACTCTATAAAATTTTACTTTAATGTGATAACTAAAGTAATAACAGTGACAACGAAATGAGTTTATGATTAATAAATCACTTTAAAATGAAAATTGTAGATTCTCTTAATGGAGACTTATGGAGACAAATTTAAAAAATCCTGAGAGCTTGTTTAAAAAGTAACTTGAAATTTCTTTTTCTCTCTCTTTCTTTTCTGCCTTTTCAAAGTGCTTTTATTTTTAAACAGAAGATAAGTAGAAATTCTACATGGTAATATATATATATGTATATATAATATGCATGCAAAAATATATATAAAGTAAAGGAAAACGTCGAATTAGTAAGATTCAAGGGGTCTCACAATCAAATGAAATAAAAATTACGAAAATTGTAGAATCAACAACGTGCGAGAAGAAAAGCTTGTATAAAAAGATGCAGAAAGCGATTCCGGGATAAGAGAGGAAAAAGCAAGACGCACGAGAAAACGACGAGTTAGCAATTTTTGCATAGGTAATTCGTGTGATCGATGCACCCTATCAAAATGCAGGACACTCCAGATCCCCTTGAACGCAATTCCCTGAGAACGTACGGCGCTCGATCGAAAAATACGAGCACTTACGAACACTTTCCACGTCTTGACGTCGGAATCGGAGGGCTCGCCGAAGAACCACTTTTGGGGCCAGGGTTTTATCGTGCCTTCCGGCGTTTTGAATATCAACCCCTCAAGACTCAGACGAGGCGCGAGGACGCTGGTGGTGATGTTGCCCTTCTTGTAGGAGGCTATCCCCGCTTTCACGTACATCTGCGGTATCGTCTCGTTCTCTCGCAGCTTCAGGGTCACTCTTGGCATTTTCGGCTTTTTGGGCGTGCTCTGCAGCGTCTTCGTGTCCTCCGTTGTACCGCTCGAGGATGCCTTCGATGTCGTCGACGATGCCGAAAAGATTGACGGCATCGTCGACGGTAGAGCGGAAGAAGTTGTTGCCGCTTGACGGTCCCTCGTCGACGTTTCCATGCTCGATATTACTTGTGTACTGATTTCCGGTGTGTCTGAAAAGAGAGAATTGTCTACGTAGTCGATAATGTCAGCTTAATTGGAAAACTGGGTAACAGAGCGTTTCGACGAATTAAATTACGGCTTCAATATTTACGTATTACGTAAAACTAGAATCTTATTTTACGCCTGTCATTTGCATATTTTATCTCGGTACACCTAGGTATTCTACAAGAGGAAATTAAATTTTGTGCTCAATCTCATAATGCCCATTTTAATTTAAATAAACACAGGAAAGACAGTATTTTTAGATAAAGAAAAAAATATTATTTTGTAACGTAATATTACTTTAATTATAATATTTTAGTTCAAAATAACAAAAATTTATTGTATAAAAGCTAATAAAAATTTACTTTATAAAAGCAGGTCATTCTTGCATTAAATATCGCCATGTTTCTATTATTTTCAATCGAAATGTTATAATTTCTGTAACATATTACGATAATTATCTGCATCGCCCCTGCTCGAGAATTTAAGCAAAACAATACCTGCTGTGACGTCATCAACCATAGCTTCTTCTTCCTCTTCCTCACCTCGGAGAATTACATTGAAGGAGGTTGTGCCGTCTTCGAGATCTTTCCTTCTTGTGACCTCGGTCGTCGATACCGTCGTAGTCGTAATTCTGCCTCTGTTCTTACTCTCACTGACGTTCTTCATTTGGCTTCTCGACACATTTCTCTCCAACTCCACTCGGCTAAGCATTGCTCGCATTCTGCTGACGAAGAGCTTAGGATCGTACTTGTTATTCATCAGAAACGGCGGGGCCACGCAGGACAGTATGATCAACGCCATTACAATGTACAACGTGTACTTGATGATCCCCGACCGGGGCTTGCCGGAAGCCTGCGGGAATCCGCCGGACGAGAACTGATCCGTCTGTGGCAGTATCGTGTACTGCAGACTAGTATCGCCTTTCCGCACCGTTTTGTACATAATTATTCAACCTGTCGGGATAGAGATCTTGTTAGAGATACACAGCGGCGATCCCTCAGTCGGCCGGAAATATATGGTTCTGTCAGCTGAACGGTCTCTCGTATTTATTTTCTCGAGCACGACTATTCAGTACGGGATTCTGCACTGTAATCGGAATGTTCAGTTTCATTGAGGAATAAAGAGGGGGAGGAATTAGTCGATAATTTATAGCTTTTAAATTAAATTTGTATCCTGGAAACGGAAATTAAATCAAATGCATATTTTATATAGGAAATTTACTACAAAATTAAAGTATTGCAACATTAAAACCTTGCTTAAAATTGAATTATATTTGAAAATTTTTTCTAGAAAATTTATTTAATGAGCTCTTAGATAACATTTATAAAATGAATGGTAACATTAAATAATATTTATGTAAAATTAATTTTGTATAAAAGAACTGATTTTGTTTGTGTTCTTAAAATTTTGAGTATATTGCCGGTTAGTGCGAAATAGCAAGACTAAATAAATTCTGACAACTCTCTTTACTGCCGTCACTGCCGATTGTGTATACATCTCCTATATTATAAATTATAATAGCATTATACATACTAAATTATTTATATATTATCAAGCACTGCAATTTATTGACTTATTTTTGTAGCACATAAAACTCAATTTAATAACATTCAATGACATTTTATTATTATTAATAAAGTATTATAATAAAGTTGCCGATAATTATTTCTTTTCATGGTGATCGGATTGTCTGCACAGATTTATATATTATTTAGTTATTCTTACACTTATTCAGACTTAAAAATCTATTTGATATAATTTTTTTTAATTGATTGATAATTTTGATATTTATGTTATAAAGAATTAGCTACAAAGTACATAACAATAAAAATAGAAATTTTCACAGAAAAGATATAAAAGTATATATTAACGTAAAGTAATTCATCTCTCGGTAAATCATTGCGATCAAAACATTCTGTTGGTGAAAAAACGGCAGTGCAGCCCTGTACCAAACTACTTTCATTATACATAATAGCAATTTTTATAGGAAATAGTTGCAAGCTTCTTATCTAACCTCCACTTGAAAGAACCACATTTGGTATTAAAACTCTATTGTTATTAATTCAAAGTTTCTATTCTCCAAGCGACGACTCAATAACAGAATTTGTTGATTCCCAGTTACCTATAAGAATTAAATCGTAATTGAACGTCACTACAAGTTTCATATATATTAAATGCAAATTTTATAATTGTATAAATGCACCAAATGCACTTGCATTAAACGACTTTATAACGCTAAATGCAATTTTTAAATACAGTATTTTATAGAAAAGAAGATTTTTATAAACTTAAAGAAAAAATCGATAAAATGAAAGAAAAAAAAGAGAAATAACAGAAAATTTTCCAGTTTTAAAAATATTTCCACAAAAATACATGTCAAAAATACTTGTGCACCTTGTTTGTATTAGAATAAAATATTTTTTTATTCAAAATTTTTATGTATGAAATTCTTATCATTATATATACGTGATAACAAAAATGAAAGTTCAAGAATCAAACCTAGATGTTGTTGAACCCAAAACTTTTCAGGTGACTGTTCTAACATTGAGTTGTCTAGTACTCCGTTCCCTAGCATTAAGTTTCCATTTCACATAATTATAGAACTGTCAGAAAAAACCTCGTACTGCAAAGCGAAGTATAAGCGATGAGGTGGTCGGCATGTTCGCGTGAGTTGCTGAAGTCACCAGTGATTAAATGATGTTTTTCACCAGAAAATTGTTTGCAAAATAATAATGCTTAATTAGTCGACGGTATCAGTTTGCAACTTTCTTAAAGCACAGTGAAGAGTTAATGAATATATTAAAAACTTTAATTATCGGCGCTACATCAAGGCGATATTTTTCTACATGGATATTTTCTTGCGTAACAAACTGCCGTATTAAAGATGTATTTTACAAGAAGAAAAAGATGAAGAAAGAGGATAATTGACAGAGAAATATTTTCAAACAATGTTCCTTTAATTATATTGCTTTATAAGAATTGTAATAAGTTATAAATGTCTCTTGAACGTTTTTCAAGAACTGCCAGTTTTTGGCATAATAAAAATTTATAGTTAGCACAAATGGAATAAATTAAATAATATTAGAAATAAGAACTATTCTGTACGTAGACATAGTTTTAAAATTTTATAATAAATTTTATTATAAAAAAAATTAATATTGTCAATTCTGCAATACTTGTTGTTAAAGTTTTACGTATCTTGAATTTGCAATAAAGTCGGCAGGTCGCTTATGAACTTTAATCATAAAACAATGTTTAATTAAAATGCAAATGGAAATGAAAAGCATTTGAACCATAGATCGCACACAATAAGCATTTGACATTTAAAAGTCGCATTGTGTTCAAAGTGTATCAACAAGTTTGAAGATGCGAAAGATTAAAACTGGAATATTCGCGATTAATACTTTTGCTTGATTTAACAAATGCTTGACACGCACCATTGAAAATAAATCTGCAATAAAATATGAGCATCACATATGTTTGATTGGCATTTCTCTCTTACAAATATTATATAAAATAATTCTTTTATCAAAAATTGTCGATTATTCACAGTATTAAAAAAAATATATATAAAGATAATAATGTAATAATAATAATTTGTAAGAAGATAAATATAAAACTAAATATTATTATTAAAAATCTTTTAATACCACATGCATATATATATTCTACTTTTTCATGTAACAATCATAGAAACAAATATACTTGCAGTCACGATATTCACGCTGTTAATGTCTCAATGAAGTATACATCTGGTGAATAAACACGACACGCCGGAAATTAGAAGCAAAACGGTCAATTACACTCAGTTTAACCGGTGTCAACGGTGGCTTTAAAAAAATTACCGAAGGATTATCGAGTGCTGATGAGTTCAGTCAACGCTCATTTTCGCACAATTAATAGTTCTTAACTAATGTCGCCGCGCGAGTCGAATATTTAACTTCGGTAAAACATCAATATAGCCTTTCTCGGAAGACAGATAAATTATTCTCGACGCGTCTGTCTATCTGTCGAATAAAGCTGATCCCCGTAAGGGAATCGAAAACGAGGGGGGGAGGAAGGAAGCTCCGCCGGGATCGCGATCACAGATGTATCAATGTACTCACGATATGTGAACGGTAGTCGAGAATCTTGATTTCCCTGCCGGTCTGCTGTGTCGGCGCTTACACGACAATCCGGGACAGGTAGAACCTCCGCCTGTGAGGGAAACTCAGCTGGAAAATGCGCAGATGCGGCCCGACGACGGTGACAGGGTGCGCGCGTCGGCGCGTACACCGCTCCGGACTGCTCCGGAAGTTGGTTCGAATATCGCCGAGAGACGGATGTCCACGCGCGGGTTCGTGGGACTAAAGGTTCAAGGACGAATCGGAAAGTGTCGACCGTGAACTTCTTTCGGCGGTTATGCCATCAAATTTTAGACGTATTTTCGCCCGGTGCCGCCCACGCGCGATTATCGTTAATATGCGAGGGCTGATCGATAGAAAAAAAAAGTTGCGCGTTTGCTGTTTGCTATTGTACGAATTCTGCCGATTAAGTTAATACATTGCATTAATGCATTAAGGGAATTCCAATTAAAACTTCGCAATTTATCACGACTTATTGCATTTCTATCTTATTAAATGTTCATTAGCATAAACGAATTTTTTAATGGATGCGCGTTAGAATTCTTCATAATTATTTCGCGATAATATTAATGTATTATAAGGAGTTTCATTTCTGAAATACGTTTTTAAAATAATAATTAGGATATATGTATAATTGAACATAAATATTATGCAGATATATCGGCATGAATTTTTTAATTTTATACTATACACAACTTCTTGTAATTAATGAAATCAAATTTTTATTTTTAAGGCATAAATAAAAGATTGATTTGGAATACATTTACTTTATTGTAGTCTATAAAAATATATGCAGTCTACCTAAATCATGAAAATATGTTCAATATTTCATAGTAACAAATTTGTACGTAACAATGGAAGACATTGTTTACAACTGCGTAAGATGAACTGCAGAATTAAGTTTTATACATTTTTACTTAAATTTAAGAACACACACACACACACACACAGTAAAGTTGAATAATATTCTGATATATCGTAAAATCACACGTAATTGCAGTCTCATTGCATAGTAGGCATCGCCGTCGACGACGCGATATCGGTGGCATCACTAGATCTCCATAGCTGTGTTATTGTCTTCGTTTGCGTGTGGAAATTTACACCCTAAAATAAAATTAATAAAAGCACGCATTACTATATTATTAAAATAGCAAAAAAAAGTAATTAAACAGAACAATTTCAATTTTGTGAGAATGAGATATTTTTATTTTATTAATTACAATTAAAAAAATATTATAAAGAGTTACAAATATGATAAATTTTGATAAATGGACTACTGATTCTTAGCAGAATAAAAAGGCACGCAAAGTTACATATAGGTACTCACGTGTTTTCCATAAAAGTGATTATCACCGAGGAAGGAACCCTTGTTGCCGGTGAAACTGAACATCGGCAGGGGGACGGGTATAGGAACATTAACGCCAACTTGGCCGGCTTCGATTCTGTTCGCGAATGCCCTGGCTGTCGCCCCATTTGTCGTGAAAACTGACGTGCCATTGCCATAAGGACTTTTATTGATGATGTCGATAGCCTCGTCAAGAGTGTCAGCGAATATGCACGATAAAACGGGCCCGAATATCTCTTCCGTGTAACACTTCATTGTAGGCTGCAACATACATATCAAGCAGTGATATAAATTAAATGGAATAACGAGAAGTGTTGAGTTAAAATATGACGTGAACTAAAATACAGCATGACTTTAAATCTTATAAATCTTGATGAATAAAGAAATTTCTATCAATAGATAAAAACTCATAAGCCATGAAGAATTTAATTAAATTAATTTTTTACTTAAGAAAACGCTCTTTCAGAAAATTTCTAGTTAATTTTTAGTTTACAAGTTAAAACTTAAGCTTTATTAATTTTTAAATTAGTATAGTTATTTTAATTAACATCAGTTAATAACATCATACCTTAACATCAGTTAACACTGTGGGTCCAACGAAGTTTCCGTTTTCATAACCAGATACAACAATACCTCTTCCGTCGAGAGGCAATTTCGCGCCCTCTTTAACACCGGATTCGATCAGTTCGTGGATCCTCTGCTTCGACTGCGGCGATATAACAGGTCCTAGATCTGTGCCGGGTACATGGCCAGCGTTTACCTTTAACCTTTTCGCCGCTTCTGTTAGGTCGGGTATCCATTCCTTGGCTTTACCCACGAAGATGGCAACTGAGAGCGCCATGCATCGCTGCCCGGCGGCACCGAAAGCCGCCCCGACGATTTGCGACAACGTTTTGTTCTTATTCGCGTCTGGCATAACGACGCAATGATTTTTAGCGCCCATGTTGCACTGTACCCTTTTGCCATGCGCACTGCTCTGTTTGTAAATATACTTGCCCTGAAAATTGACGAATTCATTGATTTTATTATCATGTCTGATTACATCTTATATTATTTTAACTGGGAATATTTTTATCGTAAACTTTACGAAAAACATACATTTTAACAACAATAAATATCTTGGACAAATTTTTAATAAAGGCGAAAGAGAAGGAAAAGTTCGATCTATGTGGTAGCACAATAAAACACAAACAATTTCTTATTCCTGATCTCGTTTTTCATCTTCGCTTACCGCTTGATCAGAACCGACGAACGAGACAGCCTTGATATCGGGATGCTCGCAGATGAAGTCCACGGTTGCATGTTGGCCGTGTATTACATTTAAAAGGCCAGCTGGTGCACCGGCTTTCGTGAAGAGATCAGCGAGGATCATGGACGCACCTGGTACCCGCTCCGATGGCTTCAGGATAGCGGCGTTCCCGCATGCGACCGATATCGGGAACGACCAAAGCGGTATCATGGCGGGAAAGTTGAAGGGACAAATGGATGCGGTAATACCGAGGGGTACTTTGTACGAAATGATGTCCATGTCCGTGGCGACGTTGGGCGTGGATTCGCCCATTTGGAGCATCGGAATCGACACACACGCATCGATAACCTCTGCCGCCGTATAATTAAAAATCAATCGATATCCACGCAGTAATATTGAATATTAATCATGATTATAATTTTAAATATCACAAATACATTTTGCATTTTAATCTACCTATTTCTTTTAAATTAGAATTAAAATAATATTTGAGCATATCGGGATAAAATTCTTCCATATTTATTTAATGCTTTATTTTTATCAAGTAATTTTAATCAAATCATTAAAAAAATTATAAATTAAATAGTAAATTAGAGCATTGCCCGATCTATATAATAAAATCTAAATAACTTATAATACAATAAACTTACGAAGACCTCGAAGCACATCTCCCTCCGCGTCAGCTGTAGTCTTTCCATTTTCTTTTACGATATTCGTCACTAGTTCTTTCTGTGGACAGGTGAATAGCACATAAAAATAAGATAAAAATTAATAGAAATAAAGATAAAACAGTAACAAAATAGTTCTTGCAACACCTATTGCGATTACTGGTGACGAAGGTTCGCACAGTGGTTGGCGTCCACTATTGTTCGTTATTATTTTTGACCGTTATTATTGCCGTCACGCTACCGAATTTTTTAACTTTGCCGCTCTCATTAATCATCTTTTATTCGAATATATGACGTATTATCATCTCTCTTTCACTTTTCTCTAATTTTCCAACGTGATATTAATTTATGAAAAAACTTATTTTAACTTAGATCTTAGGATGTATTGATATGTATGCAAACTGACCGAGTGCTCGCGAATGAGAGCCTGGTACTTCAGCATCAAATTTTGTCTCGTTAGCACACTGGTGTTCCGCCACTTCTCGTATGCCTTTCGTGCATTCTGTACCGCACTCTCCATCTCGTCTCTCGTGCATTTTGGAACGCGGCTCAGCAATTGATTTGTTGCTGGATCGCGGACATCCGTGAACTCTGTGGCCTTTGATTCTGAAAAAAATTCGATTTAAAAAAAATAAATTTATACGTTAATTATATCATTGGAACAATTTAAAATACATAATTAATTAACGTCTAATAAAATTTCTGTGCAACAGATATCGCGCGATAATTAGATTTTCCACCAATGTACATATTTATTATTAATTTAACAAAACAGCGTTATTGAATTAATATCTACTTAATGTAAAATTATTGACATTTATACTCCTTGATATTCTTATAAATCTTCATACAATTTTTGACATGTATATCATGTAAGTGATGTGAACATCACATTGTAATAACGCAAAGTGCATTTTGCGTGAAGATATATGTAAATATCAACTTCAATTGATCCTATCGTTTCAGAAGGGTGAATATTCTCTCATACGGCTGTCTGTCTGACACATTTTATTATAAATATTTAAACTGCATTTTATCCCGAACATGTCAATACTATCAATACATAGAAATATACTATTGATATATATATAAATGTAAGTTTAAATCACTGATTAAAATTACTGAAGGAAAGATTTTATTATTTTTGCACAAAAAAAGTATGGAACTTTTATAATAATATTTTATAGTTACGTGAAAATAAATACTTTTTTACGCGGAAGAATTTCTAAGAATAACATAAATCGAAAGAAATACAAAGTGATAAATTGATAAATGTGTAGAGAATTAAAGTATTTATAACAATAATTACCTACGAATTGTCCATCAATGTACATTTTAACCGCCGGAGCAGCATTGCTATAGGATCTGGTCAACCGTGTCTAGAATATTTTCATACTAATTGGTACAAAAAAATTAAGATAGGATTGGGTATTATGAGTATCTGAAAATGTTTTGATATTTCTTGCACAATGAAGAATAAAAAAATTTTGGTTCTACCATTTGATAAGTCTATTGATGTCGTATGTATTTTGGTATTGGAATTGATTTTTTGAATGTTGCAAATGTTGAAATGGTGGGAGGTGCTCCTGTTACCCACGTAGTGCTCATATTAATCTCTAGGTAATATGGGCACTTCTAAGGGTAATACGAGCGAGGGAAATTTTTTTGGAAAAATAGTATTTTACATTAAAATATTCTACCTAAATAAACATTCAAAATGTAATTATCTTCTCATCATGAAATGGTCAAACGTAAACCTTGAAAGAAAAAAAAACATTGAATGAGAGAAATAAAAAATAATATTTAAAATATTTTAGAATAAACATTTAACATTTCAGTAGAAAATAAAATAATTTCTTGCTTGAAAGGTACCAGAAACAGTTTAACAAAAATTCAAAATTATCCTCGCATCACAAAATGACTTATTAACAATAATTGTAAACGTAAACCTTGACTTTTTTGTCGATATCCGCACATTCTGTTGGAAACCTGCATACACAGTTGGAAAATTTATGTTAAATTTAACACATTTTATGTGTCCTAAACGGACCATTTAAATTTTGGTGTTAATTTAACACAAAATGAATATGTTAGAAAGTAACAAAAATATATATAAAATATTATATAAAAATTAACAAAAAAATGTAACACTAACACAATTTGTAAACAAACTCTGAAAGCATATTTTTTTTACTAAAATTGACATTTATGATATTTAAATTAACAGGTATTTTATTAATTTACGTTGCGTTAAATACATTACATTATTTTTATGTGATTTATTCACTTCATAAATTGTGTTATTTTGATATAAAAAATGTTGAATATTAATTTAACACAAAATATTTAAATAACATAATCATATTGTGTTAAATTACCACTCGAATATATTAAAAATTCAACACAAAATTTTAACAAGGATTTGAGTAGATTGTTTCTAACACAAATACAAAATGTTTTTTACTGCATTCATTGTTTGCATGTATCCAAAATCTACTTTAATAATTACAATTTTTTCTTAACTAATATTTAATTTGAATTCTATGTGGTTAGTTCTAAATAATTAAAATAACAAAAACGACTTATCTTCCAATTCGCAAAGGTTCATATTAGACTACCGTAATTAGAGTAATGTAAGCACGCTCATAATAAACGACCATGCACGCTATTCGAAGAATCCCCTTATCTAACAAACCAATAATGGTTTGTTGGGAATTTGTGTGATTAACACAGCTAAATATTGTTTAATTTAAAGGTATTAAAGCAAATGATATTGCTTCAATTAAATGCAATTTAAGTTAATTATCGTGCATCATACCTAATTGAATATACATACTTTGAAAGCTAATGAAAATATAAAAGTATTTTAAAAGTTAATATAAGTAAGCGGGCCGATTAAATGAATATTTATTATTGCATTTCAATAAAATATCCTTCATTTTATTCAAATGTGAGCGTTTTCTTTCACAAAGGGCCTTTTGCGATTTTATTTAAAAATTGCACAATCATACGATCAATATGCATTGATAAGTCAGTAAAGCTGCGTCATCCGAGGTATTTGAATACCTTCAAGTGGCAAGCAAATTTACATGATAACGATGTTTTCAAGTTAATAAATATATGACGATTTACTTTTGTTGGCAACTGTGTCATTTTACTACACGAAGTTAAGAAGCTCTATGGCGACAGAAATTAGTAATGTTATTTTCCTCTTGCGGACGTCATAGTCGCTTGAGGATCAATTGGTCGGACGATCGTACTTCATACATTTTATTACAACACATTGATATATCCCGGACGATCAAAATAACGAAAACATTTTGCATTTTTAGACTGATTCTAACAATGTATTTTATTTTAATTAAACAAAATAATTAAAAGAAAGAATAATATATTTCGTTTAAATTTTATAATTGCCAAATACAACATATTTGAAATTAGCGAGAAAATATATGATCTTTCGAAAACAAAAATTATAATTATCAAAATTTTGAATAAACTAAAATTTCTTTAAAGCATTTTTCTTTGTTTAAAATATTACCTCTAAATTGATATAAGTTCAACAACACTCAAATATATTTTAAATTATATCATATGATAATAATAAATACATAACGTTAAATTTGTATAACAGTAAACAAGTTTTCCTGGGTTATCGGATTACAGATATTTCAGTTGTTACATATGGTCATATGTTCTTGATAAGCGCATTTACTCATTTAGATAACATTTGCAGCAGCGAAGTTTAGTTACATCAAACGCGAAAAGATTTTTTTTATAGAACGGAATATTTAATAAAGCATGTAGATCTATAAATTAATTTAAAATTATTATAAAATATGTATTATATGTATTGTTTTACATGTAATTTAATATATCTATAATAATTTTTATTTCAAAAATTATAGTACGAGTATGCGTCAATAAACACATTATGACACCGTTATGACATCCCAGATAGCACACAGAGCGCAAAAGAATTCATTAGTATATTCAGTTTTATGTCACCAATTCTGAGTTCATTTTCAGGTGCAAAAAGAATCCCTTTTAGAAAAAGAATTCTTTTTGCATCTGAAAATGAACTCAGAATTAGTGACATATAACTGAGTTTTTTTTTCATTCTCTGTGCTATCTGGGATATCATTAATAAATTAGCATCTAACATACAGATTAATTTCTTATTCTAAGCTCGCAAGCGTAATAGAGGCCAAGGTGTTTTCTCGAATATATATTCTTAGTACATAATAACCCACACAATCTGCTTCATATCTACTTTCGGATTTTATTAATCAACAATTAAAAACTTTGCACAAAGTATAAAATGTTAAATAAATGTTTTTATACTTTGTACAAAAATGATTTTAATTGTTTTTAAAAAATATTATTTAAATAATTTTAAAAAATATAATTATTAACACAACGGGGCAAAGCAGGGAATAATAAATAAAGCCAAATATCACAATTCCTTCAAATACTCATGTCAATCTGTTGAAAACACTTGATATTCACTGTTGCGAATACAAAAGTAGTCGTTTAAATATACTGAAAAAAAAATACACTGAAAAATTGTCAAAACATTCGCGAAACAATTTGCAGATCGATTTTCGCGCTAACGTGGACCTCTCGGAGCAGTTCGTCGGATACCCACTAGATGGTCCGATTTCCTGCACTAATATGTTCAAATGCAGTCTGCAGCTGCAGCTGCAACGCAACGAATTTTCGAAGAGCGTGCGAAATGACAGTCAGCATACCGAGCGCGACGGCAACATATATAAGTATTCATACCTCATACTTTGCGATTCTCGCGAGGAGCGCCATGCCTTTCAGTTAACGCGTTCGACAGAGCAGCTTGGAACTGAATGATTCATATCGAAAAAATGACCTTACATTTAACCGACGTGGCGCACGATGTTTTCCAACAAGATAGTACATATTTGTTTAGAACATCTTGCACGATCGATGTCTCTGTGGTGCGATAAGTCGAACCATAACGACTCTAATTGTTCAACGAAATAAAAATGGCTAAGAGCTATCGACGTAATAAACATCTCGATTGATCGAATAATTATTTTGCAATACGATCTTACATCGATCGATTTTTATTTAATAAGAAATCGGTAGTAATTTATTTATGAGTATGGAAATACTTATTTTATTATTGTAGATATCAATTAGATGTGATAGATTAGAACAGCCATCTTGGAAACTAAATTTACTTCTGTTTTAAAATATATATTAAAAATGTAGTTCGATATATAAAATTTGAATGCGTCCAAAAGTACTGATGTTGAAAAGAAAAAAAAGTAATCTAAAGGAAGAGAATCAATTATTAAGATCAATATTTTTTCATAAATAAATTTATGGAAAATATTTTTCTAGTTATGAGAAACTTGTTTACATAGAGTGGCTTTATATTATTATAACGTGTTATGGTTAATAAATATATGTACAGTCCAATTTTCTGTACATAATTTTAATTGATTCGATTAAAAAATAATTAACATAACTATAAATCTAAATATGATTTAATTTATGTGTTATCTTTACTGGATAAAATGGTACATTCTTAATGAAGATCATCTGTTGGAAACTTGAAAACGTCTGCACAAAGTAGACATACTTTTATTCACTGCTTCAGATGTCGCTGCAATGTTGCATTGGACAGCTAATGAATGCATAAACTTTTACTAATGAATAATTTCATTTTGCTGTACACTTTATAATATACTTTTTTAATTTGTTCATAATTCAGACGCATATTTAAAAATTGAGCTAAAGTCACAATTATAATTCAATTTTAATATTTCATATAGGTATTTACAAGGATAAGTTATTATTATTAAAATATTATTATAAGAGAAGATTTTTTTATATTATATTAACTGTGAATTATAGTTAATATAATATAAATAATACGTCATAGAATTATATTTAATATTTATATAATTTCTTGCAAAATACTGAAATAGCACAAGTATACATGTATATAATTAAACTTATACTAATAATTAATTTATATTATTAATTGGTTTTTAGAATGCAAGCGATATGTCGTATACTGTATTTATATATTGAATAAAAAAATTATACAATATATATATTACAAAATATTATACACGATAAATTATACAAGTCTTTTTCACGCGCGATAAGACGCTTTACTATTAAAACAGCTTTAAAAATAATATTATAAAATGATTTTAGAAATAAAATAATTTATAAACTTCACAAGATTTAAATACTCGTGATACTTCGTCTTCTGCTAGAAGTAATTTTTTGCGAATATCTTCGAGGTCCCCGTATGTCAGGATGACTGATTAAGTTGAGAGTAAAAATGTTGTAAACAGTACTTTTTTGTCCACGTTCAGATTCCGCGATCGACAGTGCGTGCGTGAAGTATCGAAGGCAAAAGCTGAGCTAACGATTGCCGGTCGTACACGTCATGTGATTATATGGGACTTGATTGGCGGACAATCATCGGAGGCAATGAAGTCCTACCCGTTATGCTAAAGTAGACAGTCCGCTCGACTGTCTACTTGCACACATTTACGCGCAATTTCTAGATCACGTCGACGTGTGGTGTGCAAGGAAAGTGAAATGCCCTGGAAACCCAGCTCGCAAACACAAACAAACCGTGCGCTTCTCATTAGCAATAATTACAATTTAGTAGTATAACTCGTTATTAGAAATTATAAATCAGACGACAATATATTGTGAATTCAGTGATGTCAACTTTCTAAATTTCCTTTTTAGATCTCTTCTCTAATTCTATTCGCTGTAGAAATGTTTATTGGCAGTTCTATAGCTTCCGTATAATCATCAAAGTTGCGTGTTTATTTATAAAAGCTTCGAACTTAATATTTATTAACAGTAACATATTTTAAAATTTTCATTGTGTGTTGATTATCTAATTAATTTAAAATAATATTTAATTTATTTAAAGTCATAATCTGTCAAAGATTCATATTAATTTTAAACTTCATAGATATTTGAAAAGAAAATTATATACATTAATTGTTAAACTATAATATAGATTGTAGATGTATATATATAATTATACAAATAAAAATTTAATATTGTATAGAAATATATAAATTAATATATAAATAAATTAAAATATTAAAAATTATTTAGCATTATATACATTATAGCAAAGATTAGTTCTAAACAGCAACAGATTATGTAAGGCTATATTGTATAAAAAAAATATAAAATATCTGTTATTATCTATTATTATTATATCCTTTCATTCAAACAGAATGTTAAAGAAAAACAAAAAAAATGTGTGAAACCTTAATTGTACGTTTAACTACTCATTAAACGCTGTTGCCGCAAAGAGGGTTAATTGTAATCCTCAATGAAAAATTTATAGTTTTTCTGAAGCAGTCGAATGCCTTGTTTTATGCACGAACGACCACTCGCAATGAATTACACATTGCCACTAAATGCTTGACCACCGTAACTTGTAGATCGCAAATACAAGATGATAATCGTGTGTACAAAGTTAGAACTGCTATGCTTCCTACTCTGAAACGGTGATTTCGAATGCACGCCACCGTTCGTCGTAGTGTCAGCTGTCGATGGAATAATAAAAAGTGAAAAGCATTGGCGAAATATATGTTTCTCGTAAACGGGAGTCGGTCTGTCAGGTCGCGTGTGACATAACGACGACGATAATCTCTTCGGCGCCGATCGCCGCGAGCGAAACGGCACATACACGGTTGTTTTCCACGCGTCGTTATTGCGTTTCGCTTTGCCGAGAATGATGCCGAACCCATTACAGTCTTCTAATCAAGCTACTTTATCAAATTGGATATTGTCGGAGTAACAATTTATTTAACGTATCACGTTAATCTTCTTAGCGATGCTCCCACGATTTAGTTTTGTATGAATGCGACTGACGTATGAAGGCATATAATGCATCGCGCAGAACGTACTATTGATTTATGAATTTAAAATATTTCCATTTTGCAGTGAATTTTATGCTTTTTTTGGCAAAAAATATTTTTACATTAATTCTCTGCACAACAGAAAACAATGATTCCTTTGAACAAGATCTTTTAAGAAATCTATATCGTTATCTCTAATGATAATGATGCTGACAACGTAGATAAATGAATTTATACGTTTGCAATTATATCGATGTCTTTTGAGTGCAATACTTGAAATCATGAGACTTTACTTACATGAGATAAATAAGAAGAGATATTAATAAATTAAACTGATTGTTTTTATCGGACATCGCAACGAAGGCTTATAACTTCATTCTGTACAATTCTCGTGTCACTAAGAAATAAGATAGTGAATACGAAGCCAAGTAATCTTTTAAGCAAAAAGTATTTGCAAATAAAACATATTTTAACGAACATCCATATTCACATTGAAAAAACACGATGGTTGCTAACGCATCTACTTCTGCCTGCTTGCCTATAAGAGTTTTCTGAGCTGAGTTGTGTAAAGATTATGTTATCGGCAAAGGATATCGTAATGCTGTTTTGTAACACGCTGTTCGACACGCTGAATATTAAGTCAGTCGTACAACGCAGACCACTTTGCAAATTAAACAGCCTTCGAATTGTCACTACTGTTTTGCAAATTAAAAAAAAATATTGATCTATAAGAAACAGAATCGCCGTTCATGTGCACGAAGGCCGAAGTTAGAATAAATATTCTTTACACTTATAGGTATACAATATTTAAGACATTTTCATAGTATAATAATCAACATTTTTATAGTATAATAATCTGTAGTAAAAAGAATCAATTTTTGTATAATATGTTATTTGTATATAAGTAAAAAATAATTTTGCTTTGCAATAAAATTAAAAATAGTAAATTAAATGTGGTCATCTTGTTATATAATTAAGTTATTACGCTTTCGTAAAAAGTGTATGCTATTTGTTTAGATAATAATGAGAAAAATAATGAAAAATTACATAATACGATATTAAATAATTCTATAGTAAGATTGAAATAAACGTACGGAGAGCAGAGAGATAAATATAATCGTTTATATTAAGATAGAAATCATGTTTTCTTAAGAGTATTACATATTCTTAAGCTATATAAAAACGTGCAAGGATTAACTAGGGATTGCGTTAATTAGTAACGGGAAACGAACAGAAATATAAATTGGTGCGACGCAAGGCTGGCGCTGTTGCCATCTAAATAGCATTTCCTCTTCGACTCATGTATCCGCTACTTTACATACGCCTACGTCTATACTTGTGGAACGGAGTCACGTGTCCGATTTGAGTGAAATCGTGTACCGAGATCGGCGAACGAAGCAAAGTTCCGAGATTAATGTTCGTGTTTCATAAGTCTTATTCTCTCGCAAAATTGATAAAAGTTGTTTATATGCATTTTCTTGCAGTAAACGTCTCATTACTTTTTCGCTCGAGCATACACGTGCAGTAATTAACGCCAGAATGTAAATTAAATTATTAATGCAAATGTATTCATGATAAAATTATAGCACGTAGAATTGCAGTAGCGATTGAAAAATGAATAAAAATACTTTATAAATAATATCATAGCTATTTTAGATATAGTTTTACACATGAAATTAAAGAGAAAGAAATGGAAAACTGCAGAGAATATCTAACAAATTTAGAAAAACGTAATTATATGTATTTTATAGAAAATGTTGAATATACCAGAAAACCTGTACAAATTGCAATACCTATACGATATGCAATCTTATTTTTATGTATTTTTACTTATTACTCATCGTTTATTGTATCATTGTTCCAGCCGACCGCACGATTGGGAAACGGATGAAACTTACAATTCTCGTTTTCGATTAAGACACTGCTGACCGCGCAAACATCTCACGAACGTAATAAAGGAAGGTTCGAGCTTAG